TACGGATTTTATACAATCCGTAAAGATGCATTTCTCAGGATCAGGATCGTCGTCTTCATCTTTGCGACACGGACTCAGAAAACACTATAATAAATATTTCAAATATCTCATTATTTCCCCCCGACACATTCAAGGTCAGTGGTGGGCCGTCAGGGCCAGCAAAGCCTTCTCTGCTGGCCTAAACACTATCAGAATCACTGATTTAGTTTAATATATTTTTCCATGAATGTGTATTAAATTATTTCCAAGTAGTCTATTCTCTTCATTTCATAGCTTTTCTCTTGGTTGCACTGCTTCCAGCAGTGTATGTTTATATTAGAGCTTTTATCCAATCATATTTCAGCAATCGTGTTGCCAGGGTCAAAGAAATCTGCCTTAAGGCCTTCAGAATCAACAGAGACTTCACTATACACCGATGTGGGCTGGGCTGTAGACCTGCACTTCATTATCACTGTCCATACTGTGGAACTACAGCTTTAAAGAGAAGGGATTTTGAACACCATTTACAAATTTGCAAAAATAAATCGCTTCCCACTTCAGACAAAACAGATGTTCAGGAAACCCCATCACCAGCAAGTGTAACGGTGACCACACCGGCAGTGAAAAAAGCCCCGTTACCAACATGTGAAACAGTGACCACACCGGCAATCTTACCAACTACTATTGTTTCCTCAGGCAGGGTCCGTGTACAGCCTGTCATTAAAAGAAGATGCCCTATTTGCAGTGTCCTCATGAATAGAAAAAAATTAAAAAAACACATTGACCGGAAACACACCGAACAACCAATGCAGGATATTAGTGCTGCATTTCATCTTACAAGCCAATGTGTTGATAAGACCAATGGTATATTTACCGTTCTTAAAGCTACTAAAGGACAGAGTGTTCCACTTCATGTTCAATACAAGACATGGGGAGAAGAACATAAGGTCCTCTGTGAAGTAAACGAATGTCAAGTCAACATGGAAGTTGCACGGAGAAGTGGGCTCTTCTCTTACCAATGCAAGCACATAAGATCTGTAATGTACTGCACATCCTCTGCAGAACCTGTCACTTTGAAAGAGGAGGTTTTAACAGAAATGGTAAAAGCAAAGTGGTTCGGTAGCGAAAAGAAAAAAATATGCCTTACTCGGCAGCAACTTGCTGACTTGACAGTCACTGCATGCCACTCTCTGTTCAAACTTCAATTGGCATCCCACAAACCAAAAAATTAATTTCCGTATTTGAACCCAGTGTATCCTATTACAGCCGGTTGGGACGTGTAATGGTTGTCTATGATACTAAATTAAACACATGGCACTGCCCCTGTGCAAAATCTAAATGTTCATGTGTGCACAAATATATTGCAAAGTGGCACCTGTTTCAAACACAGCGTGACCTGTTTCGGACAGTCTTCAGCACAGAACATTCACCAAACAAAAGGCCACATCCCCAGTCAGAGGAGGAGGAGGATTTCACAAATGAGAGTCCTGTGTATCCGCCAAAAGGTCTGGGACTAAAGAACATGGTATCTTACATTTTTCAAAACAAAAAGATACCCGCTGTTCTGCCAGATGATGTTAAGGTTCCATCACCAGAAAAAAATTACCCAAGAAGCCTCTGTCCTTATGAAACTATGTGTCAGAGTTGTCCAGGAGTTGTCCCCCTCAGTGATCCTATTTTAATTACAAGAAAAGCGAAAATACTGTCAAACTGGCACATAATTGAAGGTATGATGGGATAGTTTCAATGTGTGTTTGCTAATAAGCTGTGTTGTCCTCTGATGTATTATTTCTTTATATTTTAGATGTTGCCACTTACAGTAAGCAGTGCCCGCTGTGTGGTATGTTTTACCACTATCAAGAATGGAAAGACGGCTTGCATAATTTTAATGATCACATCATACTTGACCTGCCCTTATGCCTGACTTTAAGAGGCCTTCTCCAGGTAACTTTAAACTTGATATGACTGTATATGATTTTGTTAAGAACTGTAGTAAATCAGCTCAAAAGGGAAATATTTATGACTAATTATAACTGGTTATGATTAATAATAAATATTTAGATTAGATCTTCGAATTAACTGTAGCAGAATCAATATTACCATTATTTGATCTGTCCGTCCACCGAGCAGACAAAATAATCATTTATCAATTCAAAGAAAGATTATTTTCCTGGCCAAAGAAGGATAACTTTCCTCATTTATGCAGTGCTAGCAGTAATTTAACAAATGTAGCAAGGGTTGGAACATTCATTGACTTGAATTGTGAGCAGCAACAGAGGCAATCATGTGTGAATATAAGGGATTTAATAAATGAAACCATATCTAACATATAACTAAGCAAAACACGTATATATACAGAATGAAACAAAGTAAGAAAAAGAGAGAGGAAAGAAAA